TCCGTTTGTGTGTCTCGTCTATCCGTATGAATTTTGGAACATATACACGTATATCCCTCTCATTAGAGGCGTAGCTAATCAGGTAATCTATTTTCCGGTAATTTAGAACATTTACATAATGTCTCCCTTTAGAGGACTTTACGTACTATATTACATATTTTATATATGCATATATGAAAGAGCATTATGCAGTCGGCTATGCTCGGCCGCAACGTTCTTCCTTATGTCCTTTACAAATAAGTTGTTAGTGCTTAATCGTTCAGTTGCTTAGTCTTTATCCACATGCATATTTGACCAATTACTCTTTATATATGTAGAAACTGTTCGGCGTCTGCAGTCGGGCGTTAAATTACCAGCGACTGAGTGGAAGCCGTTAAATATGAACTGATTTTACATTTGTTTCGCATTCGCAGTGTTGGCTCGCAGTTGGCTAAGAACAAAGCCAGGGACACGACGATAACACCGCCTCCGCCGTCGTCGTCGTCGCCGCCACCATGAAGTTCGCTGAGCATCTGTCGGCGCACATAACGCCCGAGTGGCGCAAGCAGTACATCAACTATGAGGTGAGACTTGTCATACAGCCCCCACACTACGAAAAGAGAGATAAAAAAAAGGAGGGGGAGAAGAAGACTTCAAGTTTCGTGCGAAGCAGATTAGCAACAAAAATGAATTTGGTTTACTTAAGACTAGATATGTCATAGATGATACTCTATTTATAAGCGCAGAGCCAGACAGAGCTCAAATATGTATTTATTGAGGCAGGTAAACAAGACTTATTATGATGAATCACAATAAATAATCCATCAATCTATTCCGCTGACAGAAGGCATGAAATGTGAAATTTGGTTGACCTCTTCGAAATTTTTTGATATGTCAATAGTACTCTATTGACATATCAACAAATTTCCATATATAATCTACCTAAGTGGCTGAAGGAGAAATTATAGCTAATCTTACATTTAAATTGATTAACTGGGTTGATAGATCGATAGATAGATAGATAAGGCAAAATATATACACATAATTAAAACTGAATTAATCAAATTTCATGGGCGTTGGCATGGCAAGCGATTTACAACGCATCATAAAAATAAGTCCATCAATCAGTTAGGATGATGAAACGATAAAATTGCACTTTAATTGAACTGTTCCAAAATTGTAGACATACCCAAAGAGTACTATAATTAGAGAAAACTATAATCGAAATTAGGTTTTTATAGAAGGGAAGTGAAGCATAAAGTAAATATATCATTAAAAAAAAGATTGTAGGGTATTTCGGAAACTCATCGATGTATAGTCGGTTACAATATAAGGATGGTGGATCATTGTGCATGAATATATATTTATATGTATCCAAGGGAATATAAAGAATATTAAGACTAAAGTATGTAACTTCTCACAAAAGAGAACATGGAAAGCGTAAGAATATTATAGATATATAATTTAAGAATGTCGTAAAGTCTAATCGATAGATCGTAAATGGTATATTGCTTGCCATACCCAATAAAAACTAAGTTTTATAGAAGAGAGTAGAAGAGGAGCAGAAAAGAAGAAAAATCATAGCTTTAGAGCGGTACAGATACATAGATCACTAAAGATGCTGTCTGTGTTCTGGAGACTCTTAACGCTAGATCGTAACTTACAATAGACTGCTAGATTATAATCTTGAATTCTTTCTCATTAACATATCATCATGTAGATACTTTAATAGTAGATTTAGGGAGATAGATATTATCATATCGTTATGTATTGGGCATTACTATAAAATATTATGTGCTCAACAGGAAATGAAGGCCATGCTGTACTTGGCTGTCGAGGAGGCGCCATCTGTGGACAGCGTGGAGGATGAGGTGCTCAAACGYCACTTTGCCAACTTCGACGAGAACTTCTTTCACTACTGTGACAAGGAGCTGAAGAAGATAAATACGTTCTATTCGGAAAAGTTGGCAGAGGCAACGCGTAAATTTGCGACACTCAATGCGGAGCTAAAGTCCAGCATCGAGGAGTCGGAGCGCACGGCCAAGAAGTCCAAGGGGCAGAAACGACATGCCGCATTGCCAGATCGCAAAGCACGCGAGCTAAAATTAGCCTTTAGCGAATTCTATTTGAGTCTTATACTGTTGCAGAACTATCAGAATCTGAATCATACGGGCTTTCGCAAGATTCTTAAAAAGCACGACAAGGTAAGAGATGTCTTTATATTTGATGAGCAACTTTTAAAATACTTCTGCTATTGCAGCTGCTGCGCGTAGACACCGGTGCCAAATGGCGTCAGGAATATGTCGAGGCATCGCATTTCTTTATCAACAAAGACATTGACAACATCATCAATGAAACGGAGACGACGGTCACGGGCGAGCTGGAAGGCGGCGACCGGCAGCGTGCGATGAAACGATTGCGTGTGCCGCCCCTTGGCGAGCAGCAGAGTCCGTGGACCACCTTTAAAGTTGGCCTCTTCTCGGGCAGCTTCATTGTGCTCGGCATTGTGGTTGTGCTGTCTGCTATATTTCACGACATAACCGGCGAGAATTTGAAGGTCACGTTTCGTCTGTATCGCGGTCCATTGTTGATCATCGAATTTATATTTTTGATTGGCGTTAACATCTATGGCTGGCGTTCATCGGGTGTTAATCATGTGCTGATCTTCGAGCTGGATCCTCGCAATCATCTATCCGAACAGCATCTGATGGAGCTGGCGGCCATATTCGGCGTCGTCTGGACACTGAGCATGCTCAGCTTTCTGTACAGCGCCAGCCTGAGCATACCAGCGTTTATCAATCCATTAACATTGACCCTGATCATGCTGATTTTCTTGGTCAATCCGTTTCATGTGCTCCATCATGACGCACGCTTCTGGCTGCTCCGCATCACTGGACGCTGTGTTGCTGCTCCGTTCTTTCATGTGGGCTTCGCCGATTTCTGGCTGGGCGACCAGCTGAACTCGCTAGCCACCGCCATCTTAGATTTTGAGTATCTCATATGCTTCTACTTCACCAATGGCAACTGGTCGGAGGCGGTGGATGCGTCCATTTGTATGGAAAAAGATTTTATAGTGCGGCCCATTGTCAACTGCCTGCCTGCCTGGTTCCGATTTGCGCAGTGTCTGCGCCGTTATCGGGACACACGAGAAGCCTTTCCACATCTGGTGAATGCGGGCAAATATTCGACGACCTTCATGGTTGTCATCTTTGCCACGCTCAAAAGCTTTAACAGTCGTAAGCAGACCTCTATATCTGTCTCACTTGCACAGCATTCGATGTAGTTCTATCTCTTTCTATGTCATGTCAGCCAACTATGCGAGCACCTTTGATAATCCCTACACTTGGCTGTGGATAGTGGCGTCTATAGCTTCCTCCTGTTACTCGTACACATGGGACATCAAAATGGATTGGGGCCTGTTCGATAAGAATGCGGGCGAGAATACGTTCCTGCGCGAGGAAGTCGTCTACTCGTCCACAGTGCGTACCTAAAATCTGTGCCATAAACGAGATATATAAACGAGATTTGTACTTAACTGGTTTTCGTTTTATCCGATTAGGGCTTCTACTATTTCGCCATCTTGGAGGATCTGGCGCTGCGCTTCATCTGGGCGCTGTCCTTCTATTTGACTGAAATGAAAATCGTTAGTGGCGATATAATGACCTCTATAACAGGCATCCTGGAAGTCTTTCGGTAAGCCAAGATGCAAACTTCTTTCGCCTTGTTTTTTCATTAATTATTATTATGTATTTGTATTTGTTAGCCGTTTCGTTTGGAACTTCTTCCGCTTGGAGAACGAGCATCTGAATAACTGCGGTAAATTCCGTGCCGTGCGAGATATTTCCATTGCTCCGCTTGATTCGTCCGATCAGACGCTCATCTTGCGCATGATGGATGAGACGGATGGTGTAATCAATCGCTACACAAAAACGAACAGACCCAAGCCAAAGAAGATCAAGGATCCGGAGAAGCGTAGTTTGTTGCAAGCACGTGGCTCACTGCCGGATCTCAGCATTGATATTGATGGCAGTAAAAAGCTTTAAATGATATGGTCCACCCCCACCCACACACCTCATGCGCTTCCTGAACGAACGGTTTATTATTTCCTTTTGTGGCATCTTTACCAATTCTTCCCCTTCTTTTTGTTGATTTTAGTTAATGCTTACACGTCTAGTTACTAAGTACTTAAAGAGCAAAACACATAAATAGTTAGAGCTTAAGTTGAACTAAACAAAACTAAAATTGCATTCCATAAACGCATCTAACAATGGACCAAAACCCAGCCCCAAACGAAAAGAAAAAGGAAAAGAAACCCAAAAGATTAACCCATTCCCAATCATTCCCATAGAGCGGCAGTATTACTTAGTAAGTCCAGACCTAATACCCTTTATACTAATACGAATAATTGGCAAAATCCCAAATAGCAAAACATTCCTTTTTGAAAAAAAGAAAAACACAAAACGAAAATGAGAGGTAAACCTTAATTAAGATTTAGACAATTATTTCATTTTTTTTTTCTATTTCTAAATAATAGCGTCAATTTTTTTGTACTTAGTAGTTTCGTGGAGTTGTGCTTTATTAACATTAATATTATTATTATGAATTTTTAGTTCAAATTCAATTCGAGAAACCACTTTTGATATATGAATTTTTATTGCAGCAGATTTCTAGAATTCCTTTGAGTAGCCTGCTTTTTGGGCGTAGTAATTTCAAATTGTATACATTTTATAGGGACTCTTTATAAAATCCACAAATAGACTTCAAAACGTGTAACGTTATCGTACCAGGTAGAAAGTTTTAGTGAGCGGCCTTGTCTTAACTTAAGTCTGAACAATTTCGCAATATCCCCYTTTGTGTCCGTTAATTTCTTTATGTTTGCCTCTAAATGTTGTAAATAGCTAAAAGCATGACTATATTAAACAGAACTGAACTAAGAACTGTTAATAATAATAAATATTTATATATAATATATATTCCCTATATACCACATATAAATATTTATATATATATATATATACACAACTCTAAAGCTCTAGAAATATGAATAACACATATGCAAATATACATATAATAATTGTATTAGCCGGGTTATGCCTCAAAGAGAACCCAAAACATAATTGAAACGAACTGTACGAAATAAAGACGCCTAGTTATATGCAGCATATATGTGAACATGTTTCAATGTGTTCAGGAAATGTTCTCCAGTACGGCGCAGACGAGGGCGGTGCCGCGCATTATCCAAAATTCTGGATCGTTCTTACTGAGCAACAGTATGGAGAGCACAAAGTTGGTGGAGTGGCCCGTGGTGGAGAGCACTCCGGAACGCTGCTGGGTCTTATAGAGAGGCGCCTCGTAACGCACAATGGGATTAACCTCCAGGCATGGGAAGAAGCGAATGATAGGCATGCGGGTGTATAGTTCACCGAAGCGCGCATCCGTCAGGCCACCCATGCTCAGATCCCAGCGAGCGGCCTCCACAAAGATGCCGTGTACATTGATCATGCCATCCGTGCAGTCCTCCAGATTGCCATAAAGACGAGCGTCCTAAAATGAAACAGGTTAGCAATTTACATAGCTGATCACATCTATAGTGTGGCCGTCTCTGCACGTACGCTGACATGTGCATTGTGCAGCTCGAAGAAGTCCTGCTGCACTAGCTCCAGCTCGACTACTTGGAAATCAATCTTCAGCGAATCGATGGGCAGCACACGACGTCTGGCATACGTCTGCAGGACACCGGTGAGRAACGACTGTGGGAAGAAGAAGCCGCTGATCCAATAGGAGCGTGGTGCCCCGTTCTCAGCCCAGTGTTGGATGAAGTCGATGCGTCGCTGGAAGTCCACAATGTAGTTGGGCAGCGGCTTGATGGACAGAAAACTGCGCTTGGCCCAGCTCGCGGGCACAACATTGGCTAACAGTGCACGGAATACCAATTCCAGATCCTCGGACATTACAACCAAACCTTTGATTGCCTTCGACAGATTGATCAAGCTATCATGAATGATGCCTAGCGCAATGTTGAAGCGATCGATCTCCTGCACTAAGACAGTCGTCAGCGATGGCATCTGGCCCTTGCTGTCCAACTGGAATATAGATGCTTTTACGGACTTGCGTTTCACGTTAACCCAAGTCTAAGCAACTTACCACAGTGAGAGTGTCGTGTATCGGCTCGCGCTGTATCTTGTTGGTTAGGACTTGCTGTATGCGCGCTATGATAGACTGACAGAGGTCATTCTCCATGGCCTGACCCTCATCGGCTGCGGAGCGTGGCTGGCCCAGCATAAGTGTGTTGATAAAGAATTCGGTTTCCTTGGTCTGGAACACAATGTTGGCGTTCTGATTCATGCCAAAGATCTCGGGATCCTCTAACACCGGGAAACCCAACACAAATGTCGCATACTCCTTGAGCGTCTTGCCCTGCGGATCTCTGTAATAAGTGTCGCCTCGGCAATACTTATAGTCCGGCTGTATAATGCGCTCCGATGAGAAGATGGTTAATATTGTGCGCAGTGTACGCAGATCCCAGTAGTCCGTAACGCGACCGCCCCACGTGATGTCGCCATTGATGTAGAGTATGGCTTCCCACGGTATATCGCTCATGACTTCACGATTGATAAAGAAGTCCAGAGTCTTTAATCCACACTCGCGATCGCTCTCACTGAACTCGTACGTTATATTCCAGCCAAGTGGTCCGAACTTGCGACGCTCCAATAGAACCGCGTGGAACATACACAAACCAAAAACAATTGCACGCCATTTGCCATTCTGGATGTGCTGCTCGAAGAACTCAGTCTTCAGATCACCCAAGGCGCCAATGACATTCGCCTTGATGCCTTTGGGCGGCTCATTGGTAATCTTAACAGAGTTTTGCAGCACACTAATGGGAAAGGATTGGGTGGGCATGGAGGAAAGGAACAAACGGAAGTCTGCGTGTGCCTTTGTAATGCCCAGAGTTAGATTCCGCACTACCGTCTCTAGCACTCGCATCCAGGACGTGGCCAAGTGACAGTTCTGCAGAAATACCCAGTGGCCCATGCGCAAACTCTTATCAATCAAACTTTCGGCAAGTGGTCCTTGGCCCTGGCCCAATGAAATGGAGTAATATTTATCCGTAAACTTCATTTCTGTGGTGAACTTAAGGAAACCAGACATGGGATCCGAGCCGGTGGACAGCACAAAGATCAATGGAGTCACCGATGAGGTATCCAGATATCTGAGGAGATGAACAACTCTAATTAAAAGAGAACTGTCTCTCGCACTCTCCTAAGAACTCTACTTACACTGTGCTGAGCTGTGTGCCCCCGGCGGAGACTTCTGTAAAGTATTTACCCACCGTCTCATGCAGGTAACTAACGACATTGAGAACGAAACGTGGCTTTCGGAAATTTGCAATAAACATGAGCTTATGGAAGTTCTTTAGTCGCTTATTCCACTTGTCCGTGGGCGGTGCATTGGTTTGGGCGTAATCAAACTCCTCCCTGTTGTCCTGCAGCTGAATGAAAAACGGAGTGCCCAGCTCGTCGGTGAAGTTCGAAAAGGCTTCCGGAAAATGCATTTCCAAAAATAGTGCCGCCTCCCATTGAACCTGACTGATTTTCAATTCCGGTGGCTGTGGCTTGGCTTTCACTGTGCCAACAGCGCCGCGCGTGAGGAACCCAAACTCATCTTCAGTGACACGACCCTCTTGCCGTTCCACAGACAGCGCCAGCAGGAAGCTAAAGATTAGTTTATGATTCTCGAACAGACCACGCGATATGTTATCGTAAATAGCCTTCAACTCATCCACCATCAATGTAGAGATGCGCAGCTCTACGGCCATAGCGGGATGGTCAATGCGTAGAACATTGCAAAAGACCTGCGTGAAATACTTCAGGCTGTACTGGTACATGGGATCGATTTCAGCTAAGCTGGCGACAACGAAATAGAGAATAGCGCCACGAGACGATAGGATTCGATAACGCTCACGCGATGCCGTTATAATCTTTTCAGTTTCCTCTGTATCGATAAGACGAGCCGCAATGATCAATGAAGTTTCCTAGAAATGAGAGAGATATAAGATAGATTATTGAGGTGGTCTAAGCCATTTAAAAGGATTTAAGAGAGAGAGATCCTCGATAATCAAACCCCTGAGGTTTGAGTCTTAATCTATAATTGTTTCTATCTAAGCCCAATCAGGAACTTACCTTGGCATCATTTAGTGTTTCCACCAATTCCTCATCGTCTAAAATATTTCCCTCAGAGTTGAATAGAAGCTTCAGCACTTTATCCTCCAATGCCAGCAGCTGCTGCTTATCCGTATTGATCTTGACCACCAGATCGTTACGTTGCGCCTCCATGGCTGGCAGCTCGATAGCTACAATGTCTCTGTGGGTGGTAAGGGATATTAGAGCGAGGTGGAAAGAAAGCCAGTCTCTGGTTGCTTACGCCAGCAATTGGTCCTCGAGTCCGCTTTCGGTGACTAAGAAGTTAACTAAGGTCACGTTGATACACACCTCGGGTAGGTAATGGGGATTGGGCAGCTTTGTGGTCATATACAGTTTGAAATTATCATCGTAGTCAATGACTTGGTCGCCCAACTTGAGATAGATCCGACCCTCAGACTTGTACGTCTCCCGCTGGAGTATGGGACGCAGCGAGGGATCTATGGTCTCTTCGATTTCCTCCAGCAGCACTGGATTACCCTGCCGTACGCTGTTCTCAAGCACGCGCATCATGGAGGGGTCTGTCATCTTGATGACCTGCAGGTTGTTAGCCTTCTCCATGTTGCGTATCCAGCGATTGGCCTGCTCCTGCGGATCGATCATGAGGGCCCAGCGCAAGGCACGCGTCGCATATATACCATTCTCAATGGATATGTTATCCTTGGGCAGACCGTCGACATTCCATTGCCGCATCTCGTAGGCATCGCCCAGGACCTTCAGTAAATTGAATTCCTTGCTGGAGGGAATGGTGTACTCGCGACATTTGTCCACCCACAATTGGCTCATTTCGCGACGATATTGATTGGAGAAGGCGCCTAAGTAGGCAACACAGGCAGCTGCCACCAGCACATCCCCGGGCACACAGCCCAGGTCGCCTGTAAGAGATTTGACAGTGTCTCGCCAGCGAACCTGTTCGTCGGCCAACGCAGAGGTGAGTCGTCCGGCGCGATTGATGCGTCCATAGGTGAGATCCACATTATCCTGTATGGCCTGAAATTCGAGCTGTTTCTCTTCCAGGCTGTCGCGCAGCGATTGTATCTTTGCCTCGACAGCCGCGAGCTCCTTTTGCTTTTGTCGCAGCACCTTCATCACCTCCTTGAGCTCCGCTTCGGCTGCTTCTTTGCGCTTGATCTTCGGCTCCACCACTTTGTAGACTTTGTTGAAGCTGTCCATGGCAATGACCCACATGCTCACCGACTTGGCTACTTTGGATACTTTCTCGAATTTCTGTGTCGATAAAAGTGATCGAAATCAAATGCAGTCCTCTCTTAGGCTAGACCATACTCACAGCGGGTACAAAATCCTTATGCTCGATGTACTTTTTGACTTTCTTGACGACGTCGTCCTTCATGTGCTCCTTGTCGTACTCGAACAGTCGCTTGATGAAGTTAATGTCTGCCATAATGGCCTTAGCGGCTGCCCAGGTGGGTCTAGTGACACCATTAAGCTGATCAGATTTATTTCTTGTATATATTTTGCGTTCTACTTACTTTGCGCCCAATAAAATGCAAACAGCTTCCATGCAGAACTGCACTAGGGCTGGCGGTGTGGTGAACGACTTCAGTTCATTGATGTCGGCTTTTGTGAGACCTTTGAGTGCCTCCTCGGAGTCACGCAGAGCTGGCATGGCTGTCTCCAAGTCCTTGCTGGCGTCTGCGGATATGGCCTGGGCAATGGCTGCCTTCTCCTTTGCGTTGGCCTCATCCTCCATGACGCCTTGCTTGACAGCGTCCGCTTGTTTGGTCTCCTTGGTTAGATTGTCCACCAAGGACTTCATCATGGCCGACTTTTCATCCAGCTGAGGCACCATAACTTCTAGCTCCTTTTGCATTACTGCAATCTGCAAGGCGTAAGCAAGAGAGTTATGGATGCCACATGGATGTATGAATGCTAGCATCTAGATGTGATCAACATACCACTTCATTTGTCTCCAGCAACTTGTTAAGACCGCTGGCAATGCGCTTCCGCTTGGCTATAATCTCCTGAGTTTTAATCTTGAGCAGAGACTCGTATAGCTTGAGCAGCTCTAGATAGCTGCTGGGTGTGGTATAGTAATGCCGCTTCATCTCCTTGTAGAAACGCACAGAGGCATCCTCGACGGTCTGCAGGATTCAGTAGGGACGATTAAGCCTTTCCAATGTTAAATTTTAGCTACGTACCTTGTGCATAAACACAGTGGTGCTAGCCAGAGCCACTCTCTCGTTATAGTTGGGTGCGATCTTTGTGAGCAGGCCCAAGGCAACAGAGTACAGGGCCTCGGTGGGCCAGCTAGTGAACCAATCGATGGTGGTGCAGTTAACCAACGAGGGGAACATGCGGCAGCGTCGTCGAAATGCATCACCCACTGGACTCATCGACATGACCACATGTAGATTGTTCCTCACGCGGTTAATGAAGAACTTGTAGATCTCATCGCGTGGACAGCTCTGCCAGTAATTTGCTTAGATTAAATATGTTGAGTTACATTGAGGCTCATTAGCAATTACCTCGTCCTTTTTGGACGCATTGCAGGCATCACGCGCATCCAGTATAATCTTCTCATACTCGTCGCCTTCGAACAAGTTTGGCACCTCGCCAGAGTTGAGAATATTGTTAATGTCCTCCAGGAACTCCTCCTCAACGATTTGGCTGTCAATCAGCAGGAAGGTAACAGGCTGATTATCAATCTAAAAGGAGGCAAGCGAGTTGAAAAAATAAACTATGGCTGTACTAATTGGCTTGATACTTACGCCTGCAATTCTATAGAGGACGCGCAGATCCTCGTGGAAGGCATTGAGATCGTAGTTGCGTCTCATCTCAATCTGCCAGCAGTTGTATTCGTTGACATGCGAGGCAAGTCGGGTCAGCGATTGTTTGCCCATGCCGGCAACGCCCACTAACAGTCCGTTGCCACGATCGCTACGCAGTAGGCGAGCCAGCCGGACCGTATGCTCCATGGCGTCTTGGAAAAGTATCAATTTCATAAACTTGCCCACCGCCATCGAGTTGTAGTCGGCAATATAATCGTTAAGCACGCTCTCAAGCTTGGTATGATCCTTGACCTCTTCGTAGACGCGCTCGTTCTTCGGCTTGCCGAATATCATAAAGTCGCCAAAGAGTATGGGCGGCTCTTCGAGTCCGACAACGTCGCGATTGAAATGATAAAGGCACACATCATTCATCAGCTGGCGAAAGATCGCCTTGTCCTCCAAGTTGATGAGACGATCGTGAAAGACGCGCGTTGTCTCGTGGTAAAACAGCCGCAGAATCTGATTCTCCTGGTTGTAGTACATATTATTCGCCTGCAATATGCCCTGTATGCACTTGGACAAGTCTCGCAAGTTGAATATATAATGGGAGCGATCTGGCGTGGGAAGCATCACTTTCGTCACACGCATATAGACGTCCACACAGGCGTTGACTATCGACTCGGACAGCGCCCGAATCGCGGACGAGAACGTTTGCAGGAAACCCAGCAGAATTCCGTTGAAGATCTGGGAGAGCGTCTCCTCGTTGGGCTTGGGCAGGGAAAAGAGCGCAAAATGCCGCACAAAACGCGGCGTCAACAAGTTGCGTCCACCGCCAGGCGGGGCACAGGCACAGCCCAAGACCACGTCCAGAATATCCTTCCAGAAGAGTTTCTCGCGATCGTAGAAGCCCTTGAAGTCCAGATACTGCCTGCAATTGGATTGGGCTGGCTTACTTATTCGATTTAACAAATCTACTTTAGCTCCGCACAAACCTGAGCAGCTCAATGGCCGGCTGGCTGCCATAAGTATCCAGCTTGGGCATATTGACGTCATCGATGAAGATGATAACAGTTTTGCCAACTGGGGCGCCCAGCTGGGTCTTCTTACGCTTCTCCAGCGGTCCCTCGATCATTTCCTGTGTGCGTAAGCTGCTCGTTTGTGCCGAGAAATTGAGCACCACGGGTATGACCTTGCCCTCGGCTAGGCGCTTCATGCAGCTAATGGCCAGCACTGTTTTGCCCACGCCCGTCTCTCCGGTGACCATGACTGGGAAGTCGCGTTTGAAGAGCAGATCAGCTACATAGCTAAAGGAAATTGAGAGTCAAAGAAATGGCGCTCTAGCCAGCTCAGTTGGCATTCAGTTACCCGTATTTTGTGGTATCCACGGTTGGCACCTGCATGTCATAGTAGGATATGTCCGAATGGAATACAAACTTGGGCATAATATCATTCCAGTTACCCCAATCGTTATTCTCCAAATCGACGCGATAGTTCCACAGGGAACGCTCTGGCATGCTGAAGAGAAAATATCGTGAAACTCTCTTTTAGGGATTTGATTTTGAGGCACTTACTCCATGTTTGGATGCACAGCCATGGCCCTGCCCCAAAAGTCCTCAAATGACAGTTTTTCCGCATCTTTCAAGTTGGATGCAATCGCCCAGAGCACACACCACGTGAAGATCTTTGTAAGCAGATTCTTGGCCGGCTCGTCTCCCAGTGTGTACCAGTTGACGCCCTCCAGCTGCGAAGAGATCAGGGAGCAGCAGAGCCGAACCTTGGAGCCGAGCACTTGGTGTATGGTGTAAGACGCGCGCTTGCGTTCGATTTTCAGCGCCTTCTCAAAGTAACCGATAAAGAGCTGATACAGAAACTCGGACAGATTCGCGTTCAGCTTCTTGCCCATATCAACTTCGCGCCAGGTATCGACGAGCGGTATCCAGCCCAGGTCCCCAGGATCGACATACACCATGCCGCAACGCGAGACTGTCGCTGGCGAGGCCTGCAACAGATCCTGCACTTCGAAGAGCATGTGTATCCAAGCAGTTAGCTTGATACGCTCTGAGTTGGCCAGACACAGCATCTTGTTATCGTCTAGGACAGTGTTCAAGTTCTCAATCCACACGGCATCTACGGGGCCGTCACACATGATCCACTGATGAATTTCCTCTGTGAGTATACAAAATTAAGAGTAATTCGAATTTCACAAAAGTCCTTAGGCGCTTACCCTCTACTAGAGTAGCAACACGCACTGCAAGACCCAGTAGACCGTCTTGCCACTCCAAGGTCTTGGGGTCCACATAGCCGTATAGCTCATTCATGCTAACGGCCTTCGGATTCATTGTCTGTATGACGACAGGCCGGAAGTTTGGATCTGGCACCTCGTTCTCGAACAGGTGGGCCAACGCAAACTCCAGTGCATGCAGCACTACCGACTTACCACCTCCCGTGGGACCCACCGTCATGACGCCCCAACGCACACACATGGTCTCATATAGCTGAAGGCACTTTCGTATGGTGGTGGGCACTGCCTGCAGATTCTTTTGACGTAGGCCAATTCGCAGGCTTTCCTCCAAGTGAGGATGCTGCGAGTCGGGCAGGTCGACGCCCGGAAACAGATCGCTAAGTATGCCACGGAACAGTATAGCATCGTCGGCCAAGAACTTGGGTATGTTTGAGTCGCGCAGCGCGGCAATCAGTGTTATATCCTCTCGCTGATTGGGTGCGGCTCGCTTGAGAGCGCCGGCCATTACCAGCACAGATTTGACGGCTCGCATACCGAAATCGTAGTGGTTCTGTTGGCTAAGCTGCTGACTGCACAGCTGGTACATTTGCACCATTTTGCGGGCCAATATCTTGGGATCCTCGAAGCCCTCAGAATACAAAATAACCTCGGAGATGAGCGCATAGTCGGGCACCATCATAGATATGGGTCGGAAGAGTGCCTTCAAATTGTCCGGCAACTCTGTACGGCCGGCATAGCCCGGATTCATGGTTATAAAGACGCAGCACGAGTGATTGATCTTTATTTCGCGACCCTCAAACATGAAACTATGGGATGAGAATAAAAAAGTTAAATGTGAAGATAATTAAAAGTATATTCTAGATGAGCCTTCTCATAGACTCTCAGCATTTGACTGTTCGAAAAGGCAAAGTAATTAATAGGATTTCCTCTGACTCAATCATTTTAAGAAATCACATGGAAATCCTTTGTATTATATATATTAGGTTCTCCAAAAAAGTCTATTATATAAAAATTCTAATCGCATAATCGTAGAGCTCTTACTATTTTCAAATCACCAAGGGACTTGGGATATGAAAAGGATTCTATATGCTATCCGACTTTGAGGCATAATACAAATTCTTTCATATCCAAAAACTATTCCCAGTGCCACAATAATGTCGATAACTACTTATATATCTTGATTGGCTTACCGTTTGGCTTTCATCACCTTAGCTGTTCGTATGGTAATCAACTGCTGGGCAATGACAGACAACACCTCGATATCAATACGATTGAACTCGTCGAAGCAGCACCAGGCGCCGCACTGTGCCAAGCCAGAAAAGAAGCGACCCATCATCTTGTAGTCGAGACCATCTGAGCAATTGAATACGACGCACTGTTTTGCCAAAGCCTTGGCCAAATCCTTCGTTGTCTCCGTTTTGCCCGTACCAGCCGGGCCAGCAGGAGCACCACCCAAGTCCATTTGAAAGGCGCCCATCAGACAGAGGTAACAACGATCCGTGAGTGGTGTCAGCACCAGCACACCTCCCGCGCCCAAGTACTCGTAATAATAGGGTATATTAGCAGCTGCCATGCGAGAGAAGACCGCCTCGTTTTCCACGGCCCAATAGAAGCGCAGCATCTTCAGCCAATTGAAGTCTAAGCTGGAGAGCGAAGGTGAAAATCAGGTTAAGGCAATCATAGATTTTTGGTATTTCTTATTTAAATGAAAAGAGGATTAGTGATTCTACAACTGGGTAAGCTAGAATACAAAATACCCATCACTCTACGCAGATCTGCTGATTCCCTTCTTCTATAGATTGATTAGTTTTTCACACATGTTTCACAGAGTAAACAATTTTTCTATCGGAAATGCGATAATTGACTCGAAGAGCTTTGTTAATAGTGGTATACCGACATTATAGAAAATAAATGATAATGATACACTGGGACAGCGGGAAAACTTTCAGACTTAATCATTCAGTCCACTACATTTTGTCGATTCCCCTCATTTCTGTTTAGGTATTCTATTGCATGGATACTTACGGATTGTGGACGCCCTTTTCTATAAGCATGCGCACTGAGTCCTTGGCATGGACATCGATCGTGATTAGTGCGCAGAGGATCTTTCTCAATAGTGATGAGATATTTTTGCGTGTGAGGGCGGCCAGGGCGCCAAGATCCTGCAGGCATTTGATCTCGAATTTGATCATCCTGTCAACGGTGTTGACTGCATTCGAATCCTTAGCCTCGAATATACGATGTATGTCGGCGGCCCATTGTACCTGAGAGACGGTGAGTACAACCTGGTTGGGATGATCTTGAAACCATTCGTCGCGGTCCTTGGCTGCATAGCATTGATAGCCAAAGCGCATGCAACGCTTAACGGACACAAACATCGCATCCTCCACCTTGCTAAGCCACTCCTCGACGGCACCACGCGCCTTTAGGCCTTTGCCGAACTGTAGCTTCTCGCCCTCGGGCGATAGGAAGGCAATTATGTCATTTGTGGCAACCATTTTGCCATCGCCACCCTCCTTCTGGCCAAACTCCAGGCGATAGATGGCATCGAAACATTTGCGCAAATGCGGCTGCACAGCTTGCGGTATTCGCGTCTGGGCGAGAATTTCGAGCAGCTCGTCGTTGGACAGAAAGTAGAATCTGAGCAACAGAGTTTAAATGAGTCCGCTTGGCTTAAGTGAAAGACTGAGTCTCTTACCTGGGAAACACCACACGCTTCACTTCCAAATAGGCTTCCAAGCCACGCGAAATCGCATCGAGTAAGCGATTGTCCTCCATAAGCATCTCGTAGACTTCTATGCTAGACATGGTCGGTAGTGCCAACGCCACCTTCTTGGCATGGCGCAGTATTTCCTTAAAGTTCTTGTCCACCTGATTGAACATTTTGGCTTCGTGGGGCAGCTGCCGTTGTATGTCAGCCGAGGCAAAGATGGCCTCCAAATAGATCCAGGCGCCCTGGCAATCCATCCAGGCCTCTATGATCCGAAATAGTTAGGCTAGACTCCAGCTAAATACTCTAATTTACCCACCAAATGTCTTGCCAAATTGATCCAGAGCCGTTGTCCACTCCTCCACACGTGCTTTGATGGGACCCACGAATTTGGATGCAGCTATGGTATTGATATTCACGTTGGCATCATCCAGCACCGCCTGCAGCTCCTCGGTACCGGCAAGAATGAAAACATCTTTCTGATCATGATGCGATACAATGAAGAGCTCTGTCTCCTTCCACATCGTCTCGATACCCTTGAGCATGTTCTCCAGCTGCGTTTCTCCAGTGGCTTGCGAGGAGATTTGCATAAGGCTCTCGGCATTGTTCTCGTCGTCAAATGCGTGTACCTCATCATAGGTGGCAATCTTGATATTTGGTTCCTGGAAGAACTTGCGGCCCAGTAGCTCCTCAACCTCAGTCCAATGACGCTGTTCGAAGGATAATATTATTTTCAAGAGTCCTACGTTTAATTCTTAGCTGTATATTCTGTATGCCTACCGCACGAAGATTCGGATTTCGCAGATAACCAATAACCGGCAACTTCTCCTTGAAGTCTTCGGCAGATTTTTGTAGTACGGGCACTATATCATTTTGTGGTAAATACTTTTGGAACTGCATACAGTTCTTAATAGTCTTTGCATTCAGCTCCATCATTTCATTCACGGGCAGAGTGCTAAAATCGGCTGCTAGCCAGCTGGCAAGCGACTCCTCCCAGTCCATTAATGTTTTGTACAGATTTTGCCGCTGTCGTATATTGTAGAAACCTTCGTCCATCTCCTCATACATGGTCAGATCGATTCGGAATTCCTTCTGATATCCTAGCAGCTCATCGGCTTTCTCCCGGCACTCATTCATACGGGTCAGCAAATCATCTAGCTTCTCATTAACTTTTTTGCGATCTGATTGACTCTGTGGAGGTGAATAGAGCTCAAATTAAATGTACAAATGTACTGTGAGAGACCCCCTTCACAGACTAGAAATAACAGCAAAAGGTAAGGATACCCCATAGCCAGGTACTCAGTGTCATGCCATCCCAAACGACCCCAATTTAATCCATTGGCACGCTATAGCAACGTGTCAATCTGAGATCGACCCAATGTCAGAACTTACCATGAGCAGCCACTCTTCGATGGCCTGGATAGCTACTTCGTGTATATTTTCCTTTAGATTGTGAATATCTTCCTGCATAGCTTCGTCCAGCTGATTGATGAAGTCCTGACGTTTCTCCAAAATCTCGGCCAACGTTTCTCTGGTCCGATTCAGATAGTCCTCGGTGTCCATGTAGTCCTCTTTGCGTTCATCGTCAATTGGTATATTGAAGTCTTTGATGATCATCAGCAAATCGTGTATATAGTCAATAACGGTGAAGAGACCATCGAGCTCCAAGTGACAATTATCAAGGAAGCGAAGGTGGGCAACCAGCGGGAGCGTTGATTGAGGCTCAAAGCCGATGCGGCCAAAAAAGTCCTGGGCATCCTCATACAGCTTCGTAGTCTCCTCCTCGGCCAGCTGGGGCAAGTAAATGGCCAAAACACTTTGCAGGCGCTGACAGACGGGCGTCACCGCATCCTTAAATCCGCTCTGGCCCAGTTTCAAGAGACCAAGGTATACCTGATCCAAAATACCATCCAAGGCTTGCAGATTGTTGCAATAGCGATCGCAATAGTTGCGCAGCGCCGTGAGGTCTGCAAAGAGAAGTATTAAGAGAGAAGAGAAGAGCGAGTTAGTAAGAGAGGAGTAAACTCTGCTTGAAGAAGAACAAATTTCAAGTCTCCCTTTGACTAAGCCCGCCCATTGCATTGCACAGAGACACTTCTCACAGTTCATTTCGATTTGCCTATGGGCTAAGTTACTAACTACACACACATATATGTATATACATGCATATGTACATACAGATTCAACCGTCTATCCTCTTTGCTCTCATTGCTTTGATGCAAACTAAAATCCGTTATGCTTTGCGCTCTGGACTCAATTGTCTCCAAATTTGCTTTGTCCTCGCACTGTGGTGCAGACCGCAGTTAAAAATAGTATTTCTTAAAAATGAATATCGAATAAAAAAAAAATGCATTTACCAAAAATAAAATATAAAATAAAATAATAATAAGCAAATTTATAATATTTCAGAAAATGCCCTACAAGTTAAAAGAAAAAATTATTAATTCAATTAAATAAAACTAAGAGACTATGTTGTATATAACACAGTATAAAGCATGTTTAAATTTGATTTTAATAATTAATTTAAATTAGTTCAAACTTAAAACCTTAATTCTGTATTTAATCGTAATTTTATCTAAATATATAAAACTATGTCGTGTTATGTGTTACAACACTTATAACTCCAGATCTGCTGGACCAATTTTTTTGATTTGTTCTAATTGTCTCCGCCCCGATTAGGAGAGTATATCTTAAAAAATACTACAAAATTGACGAATACTTGAAAAACGCGTTATTTTCCCTAAAGGTTCTTTAATTTCGGAGCTGTCAAATTTTCATTGAGAATTTACCCAGTAGGCTTGATAACAGTGACAGTTTTCGGTCCTGCTCTCATGTTAAAAAATTATTCATGCATATTTGATCAATACGTGAATGAGTAACACGACAGTCTTTGACTTTTAGGCGATACCAAGTTCGCCGGGTCACCTAGTTTTAAATAATCCTATATTCTCTAATTTAGAACTTTGCTCTACACTAACTTAACATTCGAACATATCAACTGTTTGCATATTCATGTACCACTGTGCCATGCAGAGCTAAGAAATTGGCGCACAAATAACTGTAATCGCCAGTGCTGCTTTTGTTAGTGCCGTTAATATTGCAGCGAGCGCAGCTTAAAAATGCTGCAATTTTCTCAGTTTAGCGTTGACCGCGGCTGCAAACGCTTTGAATATTGTGTTAAATAAGTGTGTGTAAATTAATTGCTAAATTACATACAGACATACACATGAGTATAATTACATATGTATGTATGTATATGCGGATGTGTGCGCTATAATGCAATTGTGCAAAGCATGTTAAGCTAAAAATTCTTAATACACGAGGAATGTATACATGTACATACATATGTATGTATGTATGTGTTTATAGGGTTAAGTATGAATAAATTGAAGTATATGCATATGTATGTATTTGTAAAGAGATTACCAAATTGCTTGTTCATATAGATTAGTTAATATCCCTAGTACCTTCTTGTAAGCTCTACATGGATATGCACGGGTAGCTTATCTTTAATAATACCCTCTAATAGCATCTACTTAATGCTTGCATTCTTACCTCTTTCACTGCTAAGCTCTTCCGGATCTGTGGTGGCATCAATCTCGTAGTTCTCACGTATTGTATGAAAGCGTGCCGTATAAAGATGAGCCATCTCGTATGCCGCGTGAATCAGTACAAATATATCTTTGCTGCTCGAACGATTGATGATGATGATGAATATGATAAGAATTAGAGAAAATACGAATGCAGCTTACCGATTGAAAGTGAAGGTGGCATCTTGCTTCAACAGGAAGGTCAATTCCGGCGCTGACTGATACAGACATTCCTCCTGACGGCCCATGATCGATGGCCTAGATGAAATGAAACAGTAAATTGGAGTAGGTCAGTCAAATTAGTCATGATAGCTACGATAGCCTACGCTGTGTATTGGGTGAATTCCGGGTCTGTGGTAAAGGGCGGTATGTCTAGGACAGTCTCCAAGATCAAGCCCGTAATGCGCTGAAAGATCAGCTTCAAGACATCCTCCAAGGGCTCCACCTCAATGCGATCGGGCAGGAGGCGCAACTGTGCCAGGAAAAATGGAGCTTGTGGTGCATCGGGTGGACGCGGTTTTTCGACTTTCGTGTCAAGACGATCGTGACTCATTATTTCCGCCTCCGATGGCGCCACCTTGTTGTGTTCATCAAAAGCCTGATGCAGGTCCTCGTAGCTCTGAATGGTTACACGATATAGCGCTTGATACAACATCATGTCGCAGTAGGTGAGAAAGCTGCCAATGAGCGAGAAGATGTGAGTTAGTTGAGAATGTGGTCATTGAGAGTACAACTGGAATAGTTGCAATCATCGAAGCTCAGATCACAGAGATATTTGAACTCACTTGGTTAAGGTCTTGCAAAACGCGCGCTTCCGGGCTCTATCCATAAAGCTGTGTGCCTCTCGCATTTTCTTGACAGATGGATAGTAATTGATCTCATCATCGGGATAGAAGCCACGTGCCATAATGGCCTCAGTGCATGAACGATCTGTGGGGATAGAGGGAATATTAAAATCCATATAGATATAGTTAAACTATACGCACATAAAGCTTTGCCCACAAAGCCTCGAAATTCGTGGAAGAGGAAGTTCAGCTGCTCATAGATGCGCATATGAAGCTCCAGAAAGTAGAAGGGATGCCATTCCTCGATATTTTCCGTATTTACAAAGCTGAGACGCTCCAGGACAACAAGATCGGCTCGCATCCGAAGCACTGCTTTGGCCAGTTGGGGAATGACGATGAATAGATTATTCTGCAAGTGGTTGCGGGCGTAGTTCAATTTGCGCCACTTTATTGTCTTCTCCCACACTTTGAAGCCCTTCCACAAGCGAAAGATGGAGAAGGTGCGTATTTGAATGATGCTCAGGAATTGCTGGAACTCCTGTTGCCATTGATTGAGCGGCGTGAAGAAGTTCTCGGAGACGCGCCAATAGGTAACGCCATGCCGCGTTACTGTATAGTAGGGCTTATAGATGTTTAAATTGCAGTACTCAACTTCGCGCAGACTGTACGGGGTGAAGAATTCGCTATCCTTGGGCAGCATATAATCCAAGTAGACAAAGCTGTCGTCCTTCATGTTGCGCATCCGATTAATGATCAGGTTCAAGTCGGGTATTAGTGACGCGCCCGTTTTAATCTGTAGGTTGACGTCGGTGAGTGATTTGGTTGACCGCTCCTTGAAAACCGCCCTCATGCTCCGCTGTCGACTCTTCCGCATGATGGACTCCCTCGCTATGCTGCTCGTAGCCCTTGAGGTCGGGGTCACACTTTGAACGGTTCTATCTCTCTCATCTTCCTTGTCGCTGTCCACGTACATGTCGACATGACGGGGTTTTTCCGGTGGGGGGGCAGCTTTCTTCTCGGCTACGGCGTCCTCCTCCATTTTGCGCACTTAACGGCCCAACAATCAGTGAAATATATGGTTCTGCAGTGTAGACGAATCAATTAGCATATTTATATACATATATATACATATATACATATAT